GAAGACGGTTGAATTGGTAGAGACCATCTGGTGTGATGAAGGCTGACTTTTCAGCGTCCCTTTTATCGAGTGGCACCTGCCAGTATCCCGACATCAAATCCAATGTTGTAAAGTATTCCGCTCCCTGCAGTCGGTCAAGGGTATCATCAAGACGTGGAAGAGGGTAGACATCCTGCTTGGTTGTACTATTAAGCTTTCTGTAATCTACACAAAACCGCACAGTGCCATCTTTCTTTCTCACTAACACCACTGGTGATGACCATGGGCTCGTTGACGGACTCACCACACCGTGGTCGAGCATCTCAGTCACCTGCTGTTTGATGGTTTCACGCTCTGTTGGGGCTAGGCGGCGTAGTGGCTGATGTATTGGTCGGCTGTCACCGGTGTCAATGGTATGTGTCGCATACGGTGTGCATCCAAGTTCGTCCGAACTCAGGGCGATGCAGTTTCGATGTGACAACAATACCCTCTTGATTTTCGTTTTCTGCTCGCAACTCAATTCTGGTCCAAACTTAAATTGTTCCCACGGTAAAGCATTATCCTGACTGTAAAAATGGCACTCGTTATCTGACTCTAGAGAAATACTGGCAAGTATTGAGATCTTGTCCTTCGCCAACGGTTGGAGTACACCAATCTGTTTCCCTGGATTGAGAGTGATGTCGTTGGCACCTAGATTAACGACAAGAGCGACGAATTCTCCATTAGTACAAGCCACGAGTGTCCGGGGTGCAGCTAGTTCTTTCCCTGGTTTCGCACAGAGCCACGAGTCGAAAACAGCTTCACCGTAAACCTTTTTGTTGTTCACAGTCAGGCGTATCATTGAAGCAGTCTCGGCAGGTATTGTAGCAGAGTCTTTAACGCATACGTTTAACTCATCCGATAGCTGTACTTGAGCACATATGATGTTGGTATATTGGGAAAAAAACTTTAGAAATAGGTGCCACTTTTCCACGGCGACGAAGGAAAATGAGCGAACGAGGTACACAAGCCACACCAAAATACTTTCGCATCGTGGAATGCTGGCGTTTAATGTTTTCATGGGTGGACGCGGGGTTTTGGTGGCCTTGTTCTGTTCGGGGTTCAACTTAAAAAATCCGTTTTTCTGGCACCACTCATAACCCAGAATGATCGGAGAGACGGAATTCGACAAAATTACGAAGTCCACTAACGACGTCTCACCGAGCGCAGTGACCAGTAACTTCACTTGTCCACCGGTGTGAACTTTGACGCCGTTGGCTGTAAAAAGTTGTGGAGCAATCCGGGAGACATTACAATCAGCCGGTACAAGCGTCGCGTCGATTATGTTAACCGCTGCTCCAGTATCGAGGAGACTTTCTTGTATTCCAATCCCTTGAATCTCCACTTTGGTAGTTGGAAGACCAGTAAAACTCTTTGAAAGAGAAACGAGGGGGACTTGGTCCTCTATACCCGATCCCGCCCCTGTGGACCGGGATATCCGTTTCCCGACGCGCGGTAACACTCTGCAGCCAAGTGTCCTTGTCGCCCGCATTGAAAACAGCGCCTCTTGGTGTTAACTCGTTGGTGACCTTCAGGTTGCTGGCGTGCTCCAGGCGTCTCCAGATGAGTAGTTGGCTGTAACTGTGCCGGGCAAGAAGCCTGGGCGTTTGCTGTTGCCTTTTGAATGGCTGAGATCTCCAACGCCTTAGCCAAAGCCTCTTGAACTGTCTTTGGCCCTCCAAGTCGAACAAATTTTTGAACTTCAGTGTCCGCAATGGCGTCGACGAAGGCAGTAGTGCTGAGAAGGTGAAAAGTGTCGGCGGAAACTCCCACAAATGATTTTCGCGCTAGGCACTCAACTTCCGTTGCCAGGGCTTGGAGTGTCTCCCCCGGCTGTTGTCGGCGGCAACGTAACTCGCCATAGCGGACGTGTTGTAGATGTTTGTCACCAAAGCGGTCTTCAAGTGCCGCTACCAACGTTTGGTAGGTTAGAGCTCTTCCTTGAAGTTGGGCCAGTATCGCGATGGCTGGTCCCTGTAGTTGTGCCGCAAGAGCGTAAGTTGTTTCATCTTCGGACCATTGGTTTGCTTGAGCAACAATATTAGCTTGCTCGAGGTAAAGGTCAAGTGGCTCGCTACCATCGAAGGGCTTCAGTTTCAAACGAAGGGGATTCGAGGTGGCAGGAACTGTGCGTACCGTTGCTGAGTCGGTTCGATTCTCCGAGTCTCTCCTTTCCTCTAGCGCCATGATTCTTTGTCGAAGGTCTTCTTGTGCAGACGTAACGGGTTGCACCTGCGCCTGGACCATAGCCGCCATCGTTGATTCGAAGCCCTGTCTCTGTTCCACGAACAGATCCCTCAGTTGGGCGTAGGTAACTGGACCTTCAGTGTTGCTGGTGTCCTCGGGAGAAGGGGAAGGTTCGCCAGACTGCGCTTGTTGTCGTGTGAAGGGCATTTTCTTTTCGCAGATCCCACTTCTGACACCAAAATGTTACAGATCGCTTTTTTCCCGCTGCTGCCACTTCGTCCTTCACCCGTCTCCGACCCACTTCTTCTTCTTTTTTTCCTTTTTGTCCCGCTCGTTGCACCTCAATGTCCTACTGTCACAATATATATATATATATATATATATATATATATATATATATATATATATATATATATATATATATATATATATATATATATATATATTCTTTTCCGCCTCTCTCCCTTTCAACCCCCTTCCTTTGTGCCATCATCTCTAGTTTGTGGTGCAATCTCGTAGATGACAAGTCCGTCAAGCTTCGTCGAGCTTCTCAACGAGGATGTGTCGTTGTGGCTGAACTGGGAGATACTTTCACCATATTATCTCCAAAAACTATAGCGTAGGCAACGTTTTCTCGTGATTCACCCGAATTTTCGCCAATTTTCTCGGACCTGTTCGTGGTGTTCCCCACTAAACGTTCTCTTTCGTGAAACTTTTTTTTTTTTGGGGGGGGGGGGGGGGGGAGGGAGGGAGGGAGGGAGGGAGGGGGGAGGGGGAAGGGGGAGGGCAAAAAAATAGGTGGTTCCGGGAATGCGTGGCTCGAAGTGGAAAGCCCACATTCACCGACACCTCAGGAATACCACACAAAGTAAATGCGTTTTCGGAAAGACCAAGAACATCATAAATATATTCACAACAGAACCACTATTCTCTCATACAGTTTGTCTAAGAATTTAAGGGTATTTCAGGGTGCAAACACAAACGGATTCGTGTATCCCGGGGATGGGCAGTAATCAGTAGCCTTTTTAAAAAATTCCCCTAGCAACTTTTGGATATGCTTTTATCACGCAAGCTTTCACACGCATTCGTGCCGCGTTGACGCATCTTTTTCTTTCACCAAATCGCCACTAAACATGTTCAATATTCGTGCTTGTTTTTTTATTTATTTATTTATTTTTTTTTTTGGGGGGGGGGGGGGGGGCAGTTAACTTACAGAAATAACCGCGTCACGTCGTCTAATCGCAACAGTCCGTGGTTGTCCACTATTATTTTTCGACAGGTAGCCACGTGTCCCACCTTCTTTGGTGTCCTTGGTTTGGCTTCTGCGTGCCTTCTGTACCGATGTCTCAGCGCAAGCGAAAGGACGCCAGAGAGTAGGAATTCATCGAAAGGGCGAGCGCCCGATCCGACCCGCTGTCGTGTTGGCGCTGCTCGGCCCAGGAGCCATCGAAGGCGTGCTCGAGCGTAACCTCAATTTCTCCCTCCTCTTTCCCTCGCGAGTTCCCTGTCACGCCCCCTATAGGAAACCATCGAGGAAAGCGCACCGTGAATTAATCCTCGTCAGGGGACCCCCAGCAGTGTCCCTTAGCCGCCATCTCTCGGGACGGCAGCCGGACCGACTGACCATGACTCGGCCCGGCCAAGTTGCGCACCCTCGCCAAATTGTTTCTGACTGGATTCCTGCTCGATCGATGTTTACATTGACCCGAATCGGCCGTTGCGTCACCACACGATGGGGCAGGCCGTTTTTAAAGCGCCGTCCACCAACGGTTTCTTTCGTCCACTGCGCTTCCATTCCCAACGAACCCAGAAACCGAAATGGAATGACCTTGAAACTTAGCTTCGGCGTGACTAAGCGCCGCTGCGGCTGGAAAAATATGTGTTGCGTTGTGTTCCGGCGACCCGCTCTCGGCGCCATTGTCTGGGGCAGGGTCGGCGGCCGTTCGCCAGCGTACGACGAAAACATGTGGCCCTTGCGTAGTACGAGATTATCGATTTGAGGGGTGACGGCTGTCATTACAAATGCGAGAGCGTGGCATGAATCCGCTTATTTCTAATTCGAGACACCTTGGTCGATAACGCGTGCGCGCATGTCGCCAACTGGAGGTTGCGGATCGTGCTACACGTCGGACTTTGGGCCTTGTAACGAAACGTGGAACGTTTTACGGTCGACGAATAGAACACATGCACATTCCGCGTTGGACGCGGGAATGTGCAGTGCGTAATATGCTTTAAAAATATATCAGTGTAGGAACTCGTGAACAAAAATCTCTTCTCAATTAAAAATGCGAATTACAAATTATCTTGCATTTTCACGTGTTCTTTTTTATTGTATCATAAACTTTCCCTCGCTTCGTCGGTGGGAAATAAAGTAGCCGAACTCGAAAAAAGGGGAAACCTCTCGGGGAGCGTAAGAGTGACTACCAGTTGGTGTAATGCCCCTTAGGTAATAGGTACAGTTCAACATCAAAAGCAAGGTCTCTTCTGTTCAAGTGTATCGTAGAAAGTGTTAGGCGAATTCTCCCATGTTTCCAGGGTCCCTAAAATACCTTTACACTTCCAGATCCCCCCTTCCCCTCCTTGTAGATAGGTAGCCTGATCGATCGTGACACCACCGGACACGATATTGAACGTTCGAGTGACGTATGGGCGTTCGAAAATCATCGCCCGTAGAGTTTTCTGCTGAAACTCCTTGCATCCTGACAAGGAGAGACGGGTTGCTTATCCAGATCGGACCGTCACGGTTCATTTTGAGCGTGAGAAAGTGACGCGCGTGCTCGGTTTGCTTCTCGCAGACGGCCTGTCCGCCCTGTTCCGCGAAGGGACGTCCCTGTCGAGAGAAGAGGAGCAGGACGACGGCTACTACGACAACACCCTGTCTCAGCCCACCAGCATGAGCCAACTGGACCACAAACTGCTGCTCTCCAGGGTCGCCTGTCTGCCGGGTAAGGAGCTGCAGAGCTGCCCTTGGTTTTGCCGCATCCCTCGGCAGTCGGGACCGAGGTCTTTCTCTCGTGCACTCGTCATTTCATGACGAACGGGATCCGGTAGTTTTGGCCGATCGTTTCTAAAAATTGCAATATTTTTTTTTTTTTTTACTGTTTTACCGAGCGTACAATTACGCCCTCCTGCGCTGAAGCTTTGAACAAACTGTGGCGCCCTCGTTTTGGGTAGTACAAGCTCACCTGGTTGGGACTCCCATTATTGTGGCGCCTTCGCCGTGATTTTTTTTCCTTCTGTTTAGTGCAGAAGAACGGAAAAAACACCTTTGGACTTCCGAAATCGGCTACATTCAACGCCGCAAGACAATCGAAAGTTCCGGATTCACGCCACCACCGCTAGGGTGCGCGTCTCGTATCTCTAAGTGGCGACGTTAGCACATCTGACGTCCCGACGTTTTTGTTCTTCTTCTTCATGTTTCTTTGAGACGCGTGATACGGCGTTTCTTGGTTCACGCTCTTATCGTCCTAGCTTTGGCCTGTGCTTCGACAGCGTTAGTAGCATTTTTCGTGCTTTTTTTTTTTTTTCTTCTATTTTTTTCGTTATCGTGTTCCACACCAGAGCAGGCACGCTTCTACAGGGTGTCACAAAAGAAAATTTACAGGGTCTTTTTTACCGCAAAAATAAACTAGGCATCGTCGAACGCTCATTCACCGCCCCAAAGGTAGAGCTAGAGGTCACAACCAGATGCCAAAGTTTGAGCCCAATCCGATAACTTAATCAAAATTTATAAGTGATTTTCGCAAAATTTCCATGGGAAAATGGCGGCCGACGGAGTTTTCAAACACATGGGGCTCTATGGGGTGTAGGAAAAAATGTCCCCGGAATAAATGTCCCCGGAAAAAATGTCCCCGGAAAAAAAGGCCCCGGAAAAAAAGGCCCCGGAAAAAAAGGCCCCGAATGGAAAGTAGGAAAAAATGTCCCCAAAGGATTTTCTATCTCTGGGTTTCCCTAATCCTCATGTGCTTCGGGCGGTCCGGTCATATGTCCTGGGAAAAAAGGCGCCGTGTGGCAGGTAGGGGAAAACGGCTCCGAAAGAGGATTAGTGAGAACGAAATTTTACCGTTTGCATTATATCCCCAAATAAGCACCTTCAATACCTATAATAACTTTGATGACAATTAACCTCTCGTTTCTATAAAAAAATGACCGCATCTCCACGTGGTGAATTATGTTGATTGGGGCGAAGCTCTGGTGGTGCTGATGATACTGATTTTATTGTTCATAGGTAGTGCTGATGGTGCTGATTTTTTTTTATTGCTCATAGGTATTGCTGAGTTCCGGGTTGCGTTTCGACTTCATTATTACTGCTTTATGGTCGGTGAAATGCAGAGCCAGTGGTTCTTCTAGCGGATCAGCTTGGATCCGCTGGATGCCGTGGGAAAGCATCTCCACGTCCATGTCAGGAAGAGAATGTGTGGTATAGAACGTGGTTATATACGCATTTGAGCATTTGACCGCAGCCCCCTCTCGTCTATAAACGTTGAGCCAATGCATGCAAAGTTGAACGCGATTATATACGCATTTGACTGCAGCGCCCTCTCCTGTATAGACGTTGAGCGGCTACATGCGACGTTTCATCCATGACATCCCCAGCTCTTGAGTTACTACCACATCTCAGAGCCCCTACTCGTCCCGCAGTTAAGGCGATGGACTAGAAATCCATTGGGGTCTCGCGCACAGGTTTGAATCCTATCGACTGCGCAAACATTTTTTTATTTTTTTAAGAAGACAGATGGGATGGCAATCGATGTGAGCACGGACGCCGGACGGACAAGGCTAGACCCTATGGAGCTTCGCCCCTTAAAAAAAAAGAAAAAAAAAAAAACTAGCGATCGCTTGTTCGTGTTAAGTGTCGCGCTTTTTACCTATTTGGAAAAGGGTACACAAGTACCTCTCAAATTTCCCGACACAATAATTTGGTTTTAGCTAGAAGTGTTAGGAATGTTTTATTCACAATGAAAAACAAACACAAACAGTTGAGATGCAATGTTGCGAAATCAGGAATGAAATGACAAACTCTTGATTCATACACAAAAGTCAAAAACGGATTGTACTTGAAGTGGAAAAAATGTCCCTTTGGGGACATTTTTTCCTACTTTCCACCTGGGGCCTTTTTTTCCGGGGACATTTTTTCCGGGGACTTTTTTTTCGGGGACATTTTTTCCGGGGACGTTTTTTCCGGGGACATTTCTTCCGGAACCCGGCTCTATGGCGCCAGAAATCGAAAAGGGGCAAAAATAGGCCACATTTTCCCATTGGAATTTTCAGAAAATCACTTATAACTTTTGATTAAGTTATCGAATCGGGCTGAAACTTGGGCATCTGGTTGTGACCTCTAGCTCTACCTTTGGGCGGAGAATGAGCGTTCGGCGATGCCTAGTTTATTTTTGCGGTAAAAAAAGACCGTGTAAATTTTCTTTTGTGACACCCTGTATATGTGTGGCAGTTTGAGTCGCTCAAGTTTGTATTACCCAAAACAAGTCCTAACAAGTCCTCTTTCGCAGCGCCTCCTGGGCAACGCAGAATGCCTATGGCGCTACTACTTTCTACGGCGGCGCACTGCTTAAATCGAGTGGCCCCGTTTTCTATCAATCGAAATGTGTTGCGTTGAGGCGATGTAACTATTGGTCTCGTGCACTTCGTCAGCCTCGAAGGCAATTATTGTTTATCTTGAGGAAAACCATAAAGGCAAGGAAAAGTAACAAAAAAAAAAAAAAAAAGCTTTAGAGGATTTTTGAGATTCTAAGGATTCGCCGATTTATACTTGAAGGAACGCTCACACTCTATAAAATTGGTTTATTTTTTTTCACGTAAAACACGCTGTCACTTTGTGAAAAAAAAAAGTTTTGTGCATAATTTATGCACCGTGTGAAGTAATTCTTACCGTTTTTTTTTTTTTTTGTTTTGTTTTTCAGAGAAAACAAAAAGGTTGATTTTCGTGTTTGTTTACGTTTTGATAAAATAACAAATAACTTATCATAACTGCACAAAAATGAACGCTTTTTCTGTGTGTGTTTTACTGGTTATAAAATTTACATTTCATGGATTCTATTACTTCTGAACGATTAATAACGTGACTTAGATACGCGGAAAATATTCCGTGCATGTATATATTGTCACACCACGTTACCATGGAAAAGAGAGCGAGTGCTGACGTGAACACCCTATTTTCCGCCAAAAGTTTTGTGTACAGAAAAAAATTTTTTTTTTTTGTAGACCATATTTGTGCGAAAATCTCGTCGTGCATAAATACCTTGTCAGTGTGCCGTCCAAACCGTGTTGGAAGTATTACTTGGGGACGACAAGACGTACCGCTTGGTTGAACTGTCGCCCGAGCAGGCTGAAAGCGCCCGCAGCCTTGACTCACTTTTGCGCACCCGGAGCGGCGTTACTCTACGACAGCATTCCATCATCGTCATTGTAAGACATGCCCAACCAACCTGTACAATTGTTTCTGTGCGTCGTGATTGTCATTCCAGCTCGAGTACGTCTCACTCATAATCAAACTTGAATCACAATAATGCATACATTTAAGCGCACGCGGCATGCATGGGGGGAGTTCAACGAGCGGTGTACCACGGTAAACCAGAGTTTCGGAATAGGCAGGAACGGGGTGGGGCGATCAGTTCGTAATCAGCTTTGTATCTACGAAATGTAAGATTACCCTCCCCAACTTCTTGGCCGCTACGATCCGAACCAATAGCTTATTCCCGAGTGACAAGTATTTTACTGCTCCCCAGAATATGTAGTTTTTTTGTTTTGTTTTTTATCGCACCCATATTTCGACAAACTTCTGGATTTTTAGTGTATATACACCCACGAGGCGAACACGTCGCGATAGTTCGCGAAGTCGTCGAAGGCTACTTCGTGTTCGCAGATGGTCTTTAATTGAACCTGCCCATCAAATCGGCGTCATTATGCGAGCGTGTAAAAAAACATAAAAAAATAACCGCTTTGTATTGGTGGGGTTTTTAGAGTGAACAGAACATGCGAAGCTTCTTTTTCCTTCTCTCTCTCTCTCTTCTTTTTTTTTTTTTTTTTTTTGTTTTGTTTGTGTTAAATTGACCGTTTCGTTGTCGTTCGTGGAGCGTGTATTCACGTAGTGAGATGAGAGCCAACTCGAATATTCCACGCGGCGATCTGCAGGAGGCGTCCGGGAACTACAACTGTTGGTAGGCAAACTGAACCGCGGTTTCGTCGTTTCGTCCGGTTTTCGAGGTCCAACAGCGAGCGTGGGAGGAGCGCGAGGGCGTTCTGGTTCCTTTTCCCCCGGAGTTAACGTCCGTTCAAAGAATTTACGGGGAGGGGGGGGGACGTCCACCTGTGCGCGAGAGCGAAAGGTAAAGCCCGAAAAGGGGGATCTCGGAGTGGTGCGAGTGGGAAGATCGAGGCTCTTGCACGATACGGGCGGCGGTACAGATGCGAGGCTATTCCAAGAACCCACAAAACAAAAGACGTGCTGGCTGGTCTGGTTACTTTTTTTTTTTCCTGCCTTTTTGTTTGTTCGTTTCTCTGCGGGTGTTCGCGCGTCTTGGGCTTCGAGCGTTGCTTGCTGCCGCGGCGTGAGCTGTTTGGAGGATGCAGTCGTTACATCCTCCCTCCCCGGGATGTTGTAAAGCACGCGCCAAGCACAAAGGAGACGCCGAAGGAAAGAAACAAGTATCGCGCGGGATCATTTGTGATTCACGCTAGGGTTTATTTATTTATTTCGCTTTTCAGCTGCTTTTCAGCTTACGTTTACTTCCGAAGTTCCGATCGTCTTCGCTGGAATAATCTCTATTTATTTTTGGCTGGATTACAGTGTCCATTCCTTTCTGTTTTGTTCTAGGCCTGTGATTTTTTTTTTTTTTCTGTTCGGCGTCAACGATGCACCGACATAGGGAGGTTTGAACACCATGCGTCACGAATATTTTGCGTAACAAGGTAAAACCTACCAAAACAA